CATTAACATTTCTTAATAAAAGATTGGACTACACTCTATCATGTTTCCATTACGTGAAATAGGTCGTTTCTGTGGAATGATCGGTTAACGCACAGTGTGCTCATCATTCCTCTCGATTACGCAGCGGTGGGCAGACCAGTATGTGTTCATGTGAATAACTCAGTGAGTCACTTCGAACCAGCATTCTCCATTTTTCCTGTCACTTTAAACAATTATTTTATAATTCCCACTCCGGGACTTGTCAAGGAGTCGCTTTTTTGTTCCCTATAAATCATTGTTCAGTTCAAATTGGTTTTGTTCAGGCTATTATCGTGGCTACGTCGCACTATTGAGAAAGCTCTTGCATCAAGAGCGAATCATAGCCATAATAAGAAGATTATGCAAAACCAGTTTATATGCTGTCTTCCCAAGTTATAAAACATCGGGTGAACTTAAGCGTCGTGAACCCAACCATTACAGAAGAGGAAACCTCACGACTGTGACGGTTGTCTGAAACTTTCGCATAGCCAGCGCACTCTTCTCTGTCAAAGGTTTCCCTGCTTCATCTGCACACAGCGCAGTCGTCATACACTTATTCGATTCGGATTAACTTGGTATTCAGCGGTCATCCCTTACGGAACTATTCTCTGCGGATCATAATTCCTGTAACCCAAGCTGTTTTAGCACGTCATGTGCCCAGATTCATATGTTATTATTCTTCAACAACTCTCACATCCGCGAAAATGCGTTCGATAAAGGATTCTCCGATCTAGCCGCTGATCCCAGAATAAAGTATACAGGACCATTTCTAAGGAAGTTACCATTCAATTTGTGGTTGTCGATTACATTCGCCCGTCGCTGATATCCATCCACTACAAGGCGCGTTAAAGAGCCTAGTCACACATGATGCGGTATGGATGGAGTAGAGACAGGCTTGCTAACCGCCACACAGTATACGCGCCATTTACTCTAACAGATCCTAACCACCTAGACGGGCAAGTCACATTCGACGTGGCTGCTTTTATCCCATCAATAGAGCCTTCACTTAACAATTCGGATGACACCAGAAACTCAGTGCTGGAGGCAATCCAGTACAGTGAGAAAACGTGTATTGTACGTATCGATCACCGATAAACATCCGGAGAGTAACACTTGCATGTCCATCTTATGTACCGAGCACTAGCGGTGCGACGCAGCTTTCACCGTCGTCCCCAGTGGCACCTTCCAAACGATCCAAATAACCAGAAGCAACGCTCAACCCGGTATTCGCCTCACAAAACCACAGTGCGTTAACTCGTGTGCGATAATTGCTCACTAGTCAAAATCTTGCACTATAAATGGCAAGCTGTTAGATGATCGTAAACAGTGGAATTCCATCTGCGATGCGCTTGGTATTCAGGCTAAGCCCACTATGCTGAGACGCGTAGTGCGTTACACAACTTCAGTGCATTACGGTGAGTCTCATACTCTTCGAGTAACACCAAACTCAGCAAATGAGACAGAGATCGTCCTACTCTCAGCAGTTCGTCTTTGTAACTCACTGAGCGAGGTGCACATATCGCCCGATCTTCCTTGGGAAGATCTCCCAAAGGAAACGCACAACCAAGGTTGCCCACTTAAAAGCGATCGCAAGAAAACCATGTTTGTTCATAGTGTTCCAGAGCTCCCGGATTCTTCTGATCATGAAGTGCGAACACAATCGAGAGCAGTTGTGCTAAATCCGCGAAGCACTCACTCTAGACGATGTTAGTGCTAAATCGTTGGTGGGGATTCCTTTATCACTTAACTACAAGAGCTGAGGTCCAAGATTAATAAAAGTGGTGCTACACTCCGAAGGAATGACACAATTCCAGTTGGACAACTAGCTGAAGTTTCGCATCAGGTTGCCAGTCGAGATCCGGCTAAAAGCAGCAGGCGCACAGCGACGAGTAGTTAGTAAATTCTTTGTCTCCATAGTTCTGCGCAGAGTCCGTCACAATGGCACCTCGACAGAATGGACCGAAACATGAGAGAACCTGATCTGGAACGCTCTGGGAGGCCATACAGCCCGACAGAAATTCACTAACCAGCGAGCCGCCAAAAAATCGATTAGCGGCCATCACGGGCAGCTTAAAACAACACTAGTATTTGTTATTCACCAATGAACACCTAACGTCAAAAATATTACCGTTTGTACACTAACGCCGAAGCCCTTATTAAGTTGGCCGAACTTAAAGAGCGCCACGCCTCACAACCACTGGACTTCATCATGGTTGAGAGAAATGGCTGAGCCTACAGATAACTGATTTTGAGATCAATTTGCCTGGTAAATTGCTGCTTCGGAACGATAGAATTGAAACTTAGTGATCAACCAGAAATCAGCGCCTCTAATTCAGTTTGGTGCCGGCTATGGCTGCGGAACGAGGACACATTTCTACTAGCCGTAATTTATCGTCCACCAAACCCTACGTCGGGAATTGACTCCAAACTGAATCACGTTTCGAAGGTTGCGCTGAACAAGTCATGTAGTTATGTTCTCATCACGGAAGACTCTAATGTGCATGGCCCATAAATGCCAAGAACCGATTGCATACAGTTTAAAGCCTGGTTGCGAGATCTGATTTCCAGCTACCTTTCGCGCAACCAGATGACTTCTCTTACCAGATTTCGAAATGCTAATAGGCTGTCGATATTTTATCTTGTGCTCGTCGACGAAGTACCTATGGTCGAGGGGATAGTTACAAGCAAGCCCCTGGGTTGCAGCGACCATGTTACTCTACTGTTTGACTATACACAGTACGCGGAATATCCACGTTGGTCTGTTAAGCCACCAGCATCGGTAGGTGGGGCCAATATCAACTAGGTAGCGAGTCATTTATTAAGGTAATCATCATCAAAACAGCGCTTCGGATTCAATTCCATTTACCAACCCAGACCAGTAATGCGGTCGACGGGACAATTGTGCTATCTCATCGTCGCATTTGGTCTGTACGTGCGCGTGTTGATATTCTTGCATTTCAGGTGTTGGCTGGAGTGGTATCCTCTGTGTGACTGCACTTGATGTAATTGTTGACAATGTGTTTGTCTGACGAAAAACGGCTACCTCGGTTATAACAGCTCGAGGAGATAGCTGGACGTTCTTCGTAGAGACGGGGTGTATGGCCGTCGTCGCCATGCTGGGTTCAAACAGTGGTTCCATCTACCGCATGATTCCTCATTTGGGCATCAATACTGTTGCTGTGAGTGTAGATGGGGTGTGGACCAGTTCCGTTGATGAAACTTGGCTCCAATCCACATGCCTCCCGGTCTTATTCCTTCGAGTTTACCCTGGATTTGGGGTGTGTGGATGGAGCTGTGGGTAGTGCAGTATAAACCATCTATGACCCTCTGCAGGCGCAGGCGTTCTGTGGCTGTCCTATAGAGGCTGTAGTGGCAGGCGAATTCGGAACCGGATGCTGCCAACCATATATACCAGCATGGAGGTGCTGATTTGTCGCGGACGTTTTCGCCACCAATCGAGGTGACATACCCAACGCACAATAGTGGACAGGTTGATAGCAGTAGTTGAGCCCCAGGAAGTTCCGTGTGTCGGCGGAAGATGAGTATAAACGTACTCGCGAGCCCTAGCGATCCCGGCAATCAGTGAAGGCACAGCGCATATACCCTAAGGGTTTTGCTGATACACATGTCACAGAAGTCCAACTGTGCATAGATTAAAAACTGTTTTAATAAAGCAACAACTTTACAGACAAACAATGTAGTTTCATAAAACCGATCACATCAAGTCTCCAATCAGTAAATGGTAGATTTAGACGACTTAATGCAACAATGGGTACCCTCTGATTTAACCTGGTAGGTGGCAGGGAAACGGAATGTGATACATTTGGGTGCTGCTCCTCCCAATACCCAAATATCTTCATTCCGGATACGGTCCTCGCGATCGGAATGACGGAGGTTTACCTCAAGGTGAACCGGTCTCCATAGATGTTGCTAGTCGCAACCCAAACACAGCGTTTTCGCTAAATACAACTTTGAATTGGTCTCAACAGAAGCTGTGAGTCGCAACCCAACCACACAGCGTGTTCCCTTAAATCAACTCAGGAATGCACTACGGTTCACTAAAATCTATTGTCGAATAAAACAAAGCACACTTTCTTCGATAGATGCACAACAGGCCATATAAGATAGAATTAAGGGAACACAAACGCTTCGGTCGGATGCGCATGCTATACCGACAAACCATTTTAAGAATGAATCAGAGAAAATACCCATGACTAATACTTAGAGCGAATTTGTGATAAAGCGTCTTAGTTGTTTCGACTCTTAGTCGGAACGGACGAATGGACTACAAAGATAGTATCCCAAGCGTGCAGAGTAGCCAATCGGATTTGGAGACGAAAAGATGCAACCTAGCACGACTGAACTGAGACCCAGCCGAGGAAGGCTGGCCGTTAGCAACAGTTCGTTTGCTGACTCAGCCAAGACGAAGTATGCCTTTTACACCTTTATATTTATAGCTCGATAATAATAGCAGTGTGATGCATCACCCATAAAGGTGGATGTTGGTAAGGCACGACCGTTGTCACTCAGTGATAGTGTCATGAGGGAAACTCAGTTAGTGACAGTATGGATTTGTGCGGTAACTGCCGCAGCAGTTGAGGAGCTCAGATGGGTGCTACTGCCTGATACGATAGATACCACAGCTTACACAGTAAATGCATCAGTGTCCTGAATAGAGCCCAGTTGGTTCACCTTTGGTTGGCATCAATGTCCTGGGGAAGGCTCGGTTGTTACTAACGCAGTCAGAGTCACCGCATGGTGAGTATATGTCTGAGGTGAGCCTCACAAATTCTATGCAAGTTTCGCGGAGATATGCGAGCTCCGCAATAGAATCCCTATAGTGGCTTCTGCACCTGCCAATGGGATGAAATTGTGCATGGAAAGGTCGGAAGAACTCCCAACGCTATAAATCACTCCACCAGTCCCAGTTATGTTTCGATCTATAGAATTGCGGACGATACCCAGCAAAAGCTAGTAAACAACGGGTCAATTGATTTTGGGGGAAATAATAAAGAATACCACTACTGGCAGGTTACTGACCATATAGTTCTGGACCAGATCAGGACAAATTCATCGTCAAAAAATGGAAAGCCAAATCATGGAACAGAACACAAGTGTTTTAAGCAAAAAATGAAGATTTCAGCAAAGACATTGGAGAAGTGGATCTGAGGTAATAATAATGTACAAGTCATGCTCGAATGGGAGTTGGTTCACTGTCCCCTAGGGAATCATCAGATAAATCGAGATCAGCAATGTCGGCGAAGAGGCGATCATCGATCTCGATAGCCTCACCATTTTCCGCCAAAAATGCAACGTCCGAATCATCATAACGATTATCCCGTAAAAATAATTCACGGCCAGTCAACCGTTTTGTTACGTTCTCATCGACTTCCACTTTTTCCTTCAAAGATGCCATTTCAGCTTTGAATTTCTCGTTCCATTCCATAAACGATTCAACCGTGACTCGATCACCAAGGAGTCTGGCCTCTTCTTCTAACTCCAGTGCCTTTCGTTTAGCTTCATCTGCCTTGGCTTGCATCGCTAGCCGACGTTCGCACGTAAAATTCAACCGTTCTTGTACTTCTGAAAGCATATCAAATATCATTATGTATCCAAGGGAACGTTGCGCCACCGAATCAAGCGAACGATGCAGTTCTCCTACTTGATCCGATGTGAGCCCTTTGACATTGCAAATATCGTAAATGGGCTTTTCGTGAGGATATCGTTCAGTGTATTCGAAAACGATAGTGCATTCGCACGAAACAGCGGCATCCGCTTCGCCACGTCCCAGGAGGCAGACTTCAAACCTCTGAAGTCCGTCGTTTCGAAGTATTCTCAATTTGTCCTCATAAATAGATTCTAATGCCGTCAGTTCATTCTGACGCTCCTCGTCCGCATCTGACATCAAAGCGACCTAAAAAAAGGAAGACAAAAACCTTCGTTCGAGAAAAAGACCACAGAAGCTATTTTTGTATGTAATAGGTTAAATATGGCTAAGCGTACATACGCACCAGTAAATCCATCCACCGCAATGTTCATCCCCAGTGTTGACACCCGAACACGAAGACACGGTTAAACAGCCTAGCACAGAAGAGTACATGGCTCGCTGCTGCTCTAGTTCTGCAGTGGATCCATGTCCTGGACGTCTCCGGGAGGTGACCGCCGAGCCAGAGTTGGGTTACACTACTTCTAGCTAAGAGCCAGGACACTACTGTGTTAGTCCGTTCAGCGACTAATGGCGCATTCCCCGCTGATTTTCGTGAGTATATTTTATCGATGGTTTTAGCTGAGACCTAGATGTGGAAACTCTGGCATTATATGAGTTCATGAAGTACATCAATTCAGATAATCTCATGCTTCGTCGTCTGTCATTCAGTGACACCAGAAAAACGTTTGCCTTATTTGCTACATACAGCGGGGTGGACAAGCGGAGACAACCAATTGCAGACCCCCCCCCCACTTCCTTGTTCTTCCCCTACCAGTCCCTCTTTCACCTGAGAAAATGCATGCCTTAACCTACACTCTAACGACTGTCAGATACAATCGCAAACTTACGAGAAAAGCGGGCAAAAGCGGATGATCGAAGCTATGGAAATTACCGGCAAGAAATACATAGGAGCGCCACGAGTGACAAACTGATCTTGTCGCCTTGAAACTCGAGTGCAACGAATCCTATATGGCCCGAAATAGTGAGAACATAGAATTCCCGCACTAGCAAAAAATTACAAATTATCCAAGAAAAGGCAAAATTTTGCAAAGGTGCAAAATTTTGCAAAACCCTGTGCGATTCGCCAGCCGCTCTGAGCCAATCCTCTGACCTCAAGTGTGTTCTCATTGGCCGGGTGCTAGGGTTTGATGCGTAAGTCAAGTGAAGTGAGCGCGCTGTCCATTGACTAGGTGAGACTTGTGAATTAATATCGAGTCCCTGGACATATGCGGCGCAACGAGTTATTATGCGCCCCCTAACGTCCGAAACGCTGGATCACAATTGGTCTGCGAGCATTGAACGGCCGGAACATAACTGTACGACTGAATAGATGTCTTTCATTACAGCGTGGTCAACATGCCTTCTTATGTTTAAGAGATTATCTCGTCAAACATTCGTGGCCGAGTTGTGGATGCCTTCGTCAACGGTGACGACTGACAGCTCGTGGCAACGGTGAACAATGTAAAATATCAAACTGCCTACTCCTGGATTCGTCGCTTTCTTGTTCAGAAGCAGGATACTACGCAGGCGCGTGGTCGTAAGCGCATTCTGTTGGAGGAAGAGATTGATGACATCCTGGAGTGGATCGCGAAAGACGCAACTCTACCACTACAAGGAATGCGAGTCCGAGTACTTTCCAATATGGATAAGAACATTTCAAAGTCTACAATCGCACGACACCTTAATGGCCGTCTTGATAACTATAAAGAGCATCTATCATACTTCAGAATGAACGAACATTGATCGAACCGAAGAGATACGAAAGGAGTTTGTTCAAACGTTTCTCGAATGTGAGAGGAAGTTCTTCATATGGATCGACGAAGCAAACTTCAAAGTTTACTGCAGACGTATTCGTGGTCGGGCGCCCAGAGGAGTGAGGGCCTGTGTCAAACAGTAGAGGCCTGAATTTGCATCGTATCGGTGCACTCAAAATGGATGAAAACGTTTCGATGCCTATCCGGAGAGGCTCATTCACTGGCCCCCTATCTCTCGAATGGCTGAGAGGCATTTTAGACAAACTGAAACGAGGAGTGGAGCTCCGGCAGGTGCTCGTATTGGGTGACAATGCACCATGTCTGTACCACCACGTTTGTAAGTACTTGCGTCAGTCGAATGATACGAAGAGGTTGCCATTCTGAGATTGAACCCATACTCCCCGTTCCTCAATCCCATCGAAAATGTTTAGCAAGTGCTGAAGAATCGAGTGAAGAATGAAATGCGAGTGCAGTACGATGAACTTCTGGACGGAGATCCCCAGAACCTCATGACGCATATGGAATGGAGGTTGCAGTTTCTGGAACGCATTGCCAGAACAGCAACCAGTGAGATCAGTGTTGCGGGATGTGGTAATACGATTCGGCACATCCGTGGACCTTTTCCTGATTGGTTGAAGAAAATATGACGTGCTTTGACTACATTTCCACCTCATCACTTTAGACATCTGGTTGTAAGCGTATACCATTAGGAGCGAGTAGGGACACGAGGCAATTCAAAGTCTGGGCGAAATACGCATGCACGTACGTAAGGTTATACATTTGTATGGGGGTTGCAGCGATAGCTGGTGTCCAGCGTTAGGCAATAACATGGGACTAGCTTCCAATGAGACTTGCGTGAGTGATATTTGTAGCGTATCGTCTACTTCGTACTGGTGTGCATCGCGCCTTACTCGTTCAGGAAAGACCTTAGACAATGCAGATAGGGTTTCAGAATTCCGAAAACTAGAACGTATGCAAAGTGAATTACCGAAATACTAAAAGTTATAGAAAGACATCAAAAATCCACAAGGGATTGATGCACCAAAAGTAATTGATATGCAACTCATTGCGCGGACAGTAAGCTACCGGTAAGTGAACGAGTGTTAATACTTACGCTATTGTGATGTCCTGTCAGGGTGCACTTTATACGCTGCAAGAAATTGCCAGTTCTACATTCGGGGGAACACTGTGGCGCCCAACGCTAATAGTGCGCGTGGTCGCGTCGCATAACCGGTTTCGCTGCCGCGTTGTAGTACAACCGCGCGCAGCGTTTGAGAAATGGATTCACATCTAAATACGGATGCATGGCTTGCAATTATGATTTCTCACGTATCTCTGTTGGCTTTTGATGAGCCTGTGGTTAACGATTTTGATAAGGACATAGCACGCTTGACCGCTATGGATCGAGATTGTGGTCGTTGATCGTGCATAGTACGCAAAACTAGCGCGGGTGAATGGACGCCGATTTACCGCGCGGCATGATGATCAATGCGTATTGTCAGAGCACCTAGGAAATGCATAACTTATGTTTACCACAATCTCAAGGGGAATATTTCCAGCAAGATCACCGATAAAATAACAGCAGTTGCGTAGCCACTAGTTATGCCGCCCGGGGCAGTCGTTCGTTTTTCGCACCCTTGCCAGCAGTTAATTGCGTAAACTACCACATCTGCGAACAGCCGTTCAATAGGGCGTTTCATAGAACAACAATAACCGAAAAATTTTAGAGTTCAGTTGTAAGTGTTTGCATTTGTTACTTGTTACAATGCTCGTGCACAAAATTTGCAAACACACGTGGCACGAACACTACCAATAACCCAGTCAAAATTCGGTCCATCGACCAGGCCTCTTCTTTATGGAGATAGTGACCAAGTCCGTGAGCGTTTTCGGGTTCATAGCTGACCGAAGTTAGTTCTGTGCAACCCGGTGTTGAGAAGGAGCGCTCACCGATGGCAATAATTATAGCCCTGGGGTAAGAAAGGTTGACAACAATATACCAATTAGCGGTGCGGATTCACCGCGGTTATATTTAAGTATGCCGCTTAAAAGCTCTAAATGTCCATGGAATTTTTCCTTTCCTCAACCCTTTCACAAAATACTGTAACCTATTGCTCTCGGCGAAGAATGTCGCCTTTTCTATATCTTCTTCAACATCACTAAACCGACAAGCATAGTTACGATCAAGTCGAATATACGGCGCATTCGACGCTCAATGAGTTCGTGGTCTGAGTGTTCGCTGAACTCGGCAGTTTGACTGCAAACGTTTCGTCACTACCCGGGGTGACATCGTCAGTGCGCGTTTAGTTAGCAGAGCGGCGCGGTACGAGCTCAACGAACACGCAGACCACTAATTGAACAACCTGAGCTACCAACATTTGCTTCTATATCGCAGCCCAATGAGTTCCAGCAATTCAGAGCGGTTTTTATGATGCATTATCATGTTACACATCCAGTGATTCCCCGGTTGTCATTCCCTATCCTGTGATAACTGTGTTCCATGTGATCGCCTTCGCTGTTCCATTGTGAACCTTATTGTTCCAAACGATCATTTATCTCATCGTATGTGACTCCGACCCGATCGTCCGGCCTTCACGCACCTACTCTGCCCTCTGTAAGGACATGTACCAGCATGCCACTGGCGCCGACAAAATGTTATCGTGCTTGACCTCATATGTTGGCCAGGTATATGGTATGTTAGCACGCATTTCTCTGTAAGTGCACCGTAAATCCCTCAGTAGGACACGTACGACGACGTATGTTCCAGTCGTCTAGCCGAAAACCCAGTTTGGACATTGATGTGAGTGAAGCTCACACGGACGTCGCCGAATGTCTGAATGACCGCACGTCTTTGGAACACAGCAAACCCAATCTAACTGACGTGCATGAAATGCCCGAACAGTTATACAGCACGACTTGGATACCCTTTTGGGCGTTCCGATGATTCATCATTTGGCCCAATAGCTTTGGTAAACAGGCAATCCGATTAGGAGACGGTAACAGACGCGCCACTGGTGTCGGTTGCGAGCCATGTCCTGTAAAATCTCGAGCCAAACACAAGGCGAGTCAAGTGGACTCCAGCCCGGAAGGCGAGACGGATCAACGGCACCCAGTTTGGTCGTCAGAGATTTCATTTCCTTCTGCCAAGCCAACTTCCGTCCACCTCGAGCCTTGCGCCACTCTACACCTAGCAAACTAAACAAGACCCTCATAGGTAAGCAACGACCAGGTATACGTAGCACGTGCCCGAGCCAAACAACTTATTCGGTGCTATCTCTTGTCAAAACGAGACTGGACCTTAACGTGGTGCGACGGTTTGCGTACCTCAGTGACCCGTTAAGCTATACTGGGTGATGCTCCCGGGCACCTTGAGAGCTACTCCTACCAGGTTGGTCAATGGTGAGAGGTCAGAAAAACTCAGTCTCCTGATCCTCCAGGTTGGGGGTTGAAATGGGAT